ACTCCCTGTCTCGGCTAGGGGTTTGGATTTGGCATCCTGAGCCTTGCGCTTCGTCTTATTGGTGTGCAGTATCAGCAGAGGTGGACGCTGTTTTCTGATTGGTATAAAGACCCAGGACTTCATAGCTGAAGTGGCTGTCAGCAACAGCTGCAGTTCTCCTGGCCGTCACTACAATGAAGCGTGTAGGTGAGCTACATGCCTCGTCATGATCCTGGTTTTTCTGTGTTGTTTTTGGAGCGTTCTGTTTGTGTTGTTCCTTGTTTCATGTATTCTTTCATGTTTATTCTGTTTCCTGTTTTATTTTGTAGGTTTACTCTGAATGTGTCATGTCTGGTTTTCTTTGTTTGTTTTCCCGCCTTTTTGATTGTCTGCCCCCGCCCTGATTAGTTTCACCTGTCCCTCACTAGTCCTGCAGTCCACTCACCTGTTCTCACTCCCCCAATTAGCGTCCTCTACTTTTTCCCTACTCAGTTCTTTTGTTCTTTGTGGGATCATCTGTTGGTGTTTCTTGTGAGTTTTTGGTTTTCCCCTGCTGATTGTTTCTGCCTGTTTGCTTGCCTGCCTGGTCATCTCATCTACCTTCTTCAGTTAAGTATATTTCCTGAAACCACAGCCTGCTGTCCTGCATCTCCTGCATCTGGGTCCTTCCTACCTGTGCTGCCTTACAGCCGAAATACATGGGGCATAGACGCAGCGTGTCACGTACACTGACTCCGTCTCTGCAGCGTGTGGTTGCTGCCAGCTTCCCTGTTATTTAGCCTAACAAGTGTTTTGCCAAGCCATAATTCAGTCGGCTATGGAGGGTCTGGAAGCGTATATAAATCCCGCTTAGTATCCCACTAAGTGGTCAGTGTTGGGCATGTTACTTGGAAGATGTAGTGAGCTAAGCTACCAGTTACTCTACATCAAAATAAAGCTTCGCCACATTGAAGTTATCTCCAAAGAAATGTAGCAGGCTAAGCTACGAGAAAAATGTTCAGTGGGAGATTTTAGTATGAAATAATAGACTAATAGACTACTTAATGCATTTCTCTGTCTTGGCCTCTTTCAGTCAGCTATCTTGCTCTGTCACTAATTCCAAAATATATTTTTCAGTTATTCAGTGATATAAACAATACAAATTCAAATACACACAAGAAGTTTGTGCTCTAGAAAAGGATCCACACTCAGTGAATAAACTCCTAAGCCCTATGATAAGCTATTATGGCAAGGCTTAACTATACAGACCAGTGAGCAGTGATAACTAACATGTCTTTGGGGTCATCAGGTGGGAACCTCCTTTCACTAGTGTTTCGTCTAGTTGGTCCCACGACACCTCCAGGAGGCTAGACAGTGATCTCTGGCGTCCCAGAGACACTCCCCTAATGCCAGGTCTCACTGCTCCCCGCACCAACCCAATAACCTCCTTTACCTTACTTACACATGGTTTTCTCAGCCCAAACAGCACTGCCACCTTCCACAGACCCAGGCTCCGTACATGCAAGCTCCAGGTAGAGACAGGGCTGATACTACCTTTCCTAGCACATTCACCATACTCTATCTCACACGCTACATATCATAACTACAATATAAGCTAAAGTTAAAGGAGATAGATAAACTCACAGGATCAGCAAACACACTCACCTTAAAAAAAAAAACAGACCGAAATGTAAACTTTTTTTTTAGCATTAGAACATGAACATGTTATGCAAGCAATGTGTCAAATCGATGCTGTACCTAGCGTAGGCTCTACCTCAACAAAGAGCTTACGCTGTAGCCTGACATGTACCTTCCCAGAAATGTAGCTACACGTTGCGATGACACAGACCTCCTGTCTGTCTCTGTAAGCTGAAACCATTTCCCTCAGTGGAAACAAAGCTTGTATTTACTTTAATTTCACAGATAAGAACAATAAATTGTGAAGACAATAAAGCCTCCACAAAATATCGTTTTAAGTCGTGTGTGATTTATCCTGGCTTCATATGAGCAGAGGAAATCTCCACTTGTTGCTAGGCTAATTTACACAATGTAAAATGCCATAGGCTTGTGCTAATAATGTTAGCATGGTGTATTTGTTAAGAAAACGTGTTTAGTATAAGGCAGTTGTTTTGTCAGTGAACCTTGTGAGTTTTAATGGAGCCGTGTTTTGTAACGTTACCTTTGTTACATGTTGCTGTTGTCCCTGGCTTCATACGAGTAGACGAAAAGTTCACTAGCTGCTAGGCTAATTTATACAATGTAAAATGCCACAGGCTTGTGCTAAAATCATTAGCATGTTGTATTTGTGGGGAAAATGTGTCCAGATAAAGTACATAAATTGGCTCTGAATACTGAATGTTATAGTGTAGCTGATTTTTGTACTTGTGTTTGACATTGTCTCTATTAAGCCGTGTTTAATGTGTGTTTTGAATCAACTAAACTAAACTCACAGAAACTAAAGACTAATATTTTTGAGGTGTAACTGCTCAGAACAGCATAGGCCACATGCGTAGGCGGGTCCATGTCATTGGTTCGACATCCCATTAGTCCGACTGTCCGCGGTGCTGAACGGCTCGCGGAGGGCGTATGGTGCGCCGCGACTGGCTTGAGGCGGAGCAGGCTCACGGCTTATGTGTTTGTCACTTTCTTTTTCATTTTAACCCACACCATGATCTTTTCCTGACCCTAACCAAGTGGTTTTTGTGCCTAAACCTACCCAGACCTTAACCACAGGGCATCATGATGATTTCGGAACGGACTTCGGAACAATGAGTTTAATATGGTCGGAACAATGGGCTGTTGAACCAATGGGCAGTTCCCACGTAGGCTACGGCATAGAGCTGACACGCAAATATAAATCCTGCTTAACACGCAACATCAGTAGGCAGTAGCTATGTTTCCATCCAAAAGTGATTTGAATCATTGGGAAATGTGTATTAAAAGAAATACGAATCCTGTGTGTTTCCATTAAATGTACGGACTTTGGTGAAAACTACGAACTTGCGCAGGTTTTCCGCGGAACCAGAAACAAAACAAGTCTCGCATTCTTCTTCTATGTTTTCTGGTGGTTGGCAACCAGCTTGTAAATGCATTACCGCCTTCCCGACCCGGAGTGTGGATATCACCATGGAGAGAGGTGCGCTACGTCAGACTTAATTCAAACATAACTGTTTCCATCCCCCATTTTGCAAATCAGCATTTTTTTTAATCAACCAAAACCCGGCTAAAGCGAGCGTATTTTAGTTTGTGCTAATCAGGGGATTTTAATTTGAATTTTTTCCGTTTCCATCATAATTTTCCGATGCGATACTTCTAGATGCGCATCTAAACAGGCTGATGGAAACATGGCTTATGTCTCTGTCTCCTCTCTTCCTTCTTAATACTGTCCTCTGTCTCTCAGCTCTGTTCTCGGCCCTTGTTGTGTCTATTTCTCTGGTGTCCACTGCAAATCCACTAATTATATTCAGTCTATGGGAGACGTGTTAAGAAGTGCAGTGTAGCCTACCAGAAGCAGAGTAGGGCTGGTCTCGCCAAGGACAGCCAATAGCAAAAGCAACAAGCACAGTTTGGGTTGTTGGACAGTGAGAGGACACCGAGGCGTTCAACTGTAAAAATGAGAAACTTGCACAACTGTGAACACGAGTGTGTTTAATTATTATCACATTTCTTTTCTGACAGTTTTCATACAGTAACTTTGTAGGACAGAGTATGCATCCACTTTAAATACAGGTAATACAGGCAATAACACAATGCATTACTACAATTGTAAACCATTTACAAATTCTTGATTTTCATTTTAACATTTTAATACAGACCCAATATAACAATTACACAATTTAGAGATTAATTTTAACACTTGTTGTTGTAAACCTCTGTGTGTTCAGTGTTTGAAGTCAATGTGATATTGATGAGTCATTCAAATGTTAACAAATAAATCCATACTCAAATGAATTTTGATTAACACAACATTTAAAACAGTGCGTCCTAAATCCTAAATTTGACGTTTTGTTAACTGTATGTAAAACGTGAGAGTGCTTTACTTCTTAATAAGAGCACAATTCAAATTGGAGACAAATGTTTTTGTACTCCTGAGTTTATATTCCACCTCACATGGAAGATCCTTATACTGAGATCTCTTCTTCACCCCTACCACTTTAAAGACCTCGTAAGGAGGAATCAGCACTTCGCGTTCTTCTGGATATGGAGAATACATGGAGATGTCTGCTCCAAAGCACGTGTAAATCTCAAAGCACGTCTTGTCTCCAAAATATTTGTTGGCGTACTGACCCATTGAGGTTGAGGTAAAAGAGCCCAATCGAAGCTGCGTGTTGACAACTTGGTCAAAGGTTTTGTCAACACGGCGGTAGACGGTGACACATCCGTCCTCTCCCTGAGGGAGTTTTTCTTCTCCTTTGAGAGTTTGAATGGCGTCAGTTAGGAGAAAGTGAAGTGCGTGATACCCAAATGTGGTCTTGTACTGAGGTGCCTGGGTTCGAACTGCAGTATTGAAATCAAGATACACTTTATTGTCTTTAAAGGTGTAACAGTAAATAGCTACAAGACGGTCTTTCCCCAGGGCTGGTTTTGATTTCTTAAATTTTTTGTTGTACCATTGCTCTGAGCTCTCCCAGGCCCGTTTGAATGTGGGGTTTGTGTTCTTCTCATTCGCCAGATATTCTTGGAGCTTCTGGTACATCTTATCTTTGCAGCCTTGGTACATGTCGTCAACAGAGTTTGGAGCCATGTCCAGTTTTAGGATGTCGTCTGCCCCAGCCGAGGGCCCAGCCCCAGCTTTAGCAGGGACCTTCAAAGAAACAATAGACATTATAAGAACAAATCATCTTGTTTCACGGTCATCTTACTCACAGCAGTTACAATGAAGCAAGCCATCATTCAGCATTAGTACTCTACCATTGCAATTCCTGTAGAGACTCCGTAAGTGAGCAACACTGCTGCCCAGAAGGTCACTGCTGCCATCTTCCACCAAACCAGACACCAGGAGACACGGTTGTTAGACAAATGATCTTTGGCAAGTCCTTCAGTCAAGCACAAACACCTGTCAGAGGGACAGCAATGTCTGGGTACAGCACACCTATATAGTAAGGGATTAAGGAAGTTTAAGAGTCAAGTCATGTATCATGGGAGCAAGAGACCATTTTGCAAGAAGACCATGACAGTGAAAGGGGAAGAAAGGGCTTATCTCCACAACTCCAGACCAGCTTTAGATCACCGCAAAGTCAAGTTAAACACTACGCAAGTCTAAGTGTTATAATAACAAATTTCCATTTAAATGTCACGGGCTCTGGCTCCTTCAGTCTTTTCACAGTCAGAATCTTTATTTTGAGTTTATTTCTTTTTGCTGGCAGTATCTCAAACTACATTTTATTGTACAACCCTGATTCCAAAAAAGTTGGGACACTGTAGAACCAGCCACAGGCAGCTATGTACAAACTTTCTGATGAGCTTCTTCTGTTTGGGTTGTTGGACAGTGAAAGGACACCGAGGCGTTTCACTGTAAAAATGACAAACTTGCACAACTTGTGAACACAAGTGTGTTTAATTATTATTCCATTTCTTTTTTGACACAGTTTTCATACAGTAACTTTGTAGGACAGATTATGCATCCACTTTAAATACAGGTAATACAGGCAATAACACAATGCATTACTACAATTGTTTCAAACAATTTACAAATTTTTGATTTTCATTTTAACATTTTAATACAGACCCACTTTAACAATTACACAACTTAAGGATTAGTTTTAATGCAACTTTTTTTTCTTAAACACTTGTTGCACAGTAGAACTGAACTTAACCTCGGAACACACTTAACCTATGCAACACTTAAAAAGGTTGCAAATTTTACAGTTACGTTTCTTCTTGAAAAGATCACAATTCAGATTCCTACTTGTGCCTGTGCTCCTGAGTTTATATTCCACCTCACATGGAAGATCCTTATGGTCAGATCTCATCTTCACCCCTACCACTTTAAAGACCTCGTAAGGAGGAATCAGCACTTCGCGTTCAATCTCAAATTTAGAAAAGATGGAGACATCTGCTCCAAAGCACGTGTAAATCTCAAAGCACGTCTTGTCTCCAAATCTCTCTACGTTCGTGTTGTACTGACCCATTGAGCTTGAGGTAAAAGAGCCGAATCGAAGCTGCGTGTTGACGACTTGGTTAAAGGTTCTGTCAACACGGCGGTAGCCAGTGACACATTCGTCCTCTCCCGGAGCGAGGTTTGAGAGCCTGCGTTCTCTGAGAGTTTGAATGGCGTCGGTCAGGAGAAAGTGAAGTGCGTGATACCCAAATGTGGTGGTGTACTCATTTTTCTGGGTTCGAACTGCATTATTGAAATCAAGATACGCATTGTCTCTGCCAAAGGTGTAATAGTAAATAGCTACAATACGGTCTTTCCCCAGGGCTGGTTTTGATTTCTTAATTTTTTTGTCGTACCATTGCTCTGAGCTCTCCCAGGCTGCTTTGAATTTGGCGTTTGTGTTCTTCTCATTTGCCAGTAATTCTTGGAGATTCTGGTACATCTCATCTTTGCAGCCATCGTACATGTCGTCAACAGAGTGTGGAGCCATGTCCAGTCTAAGGATGTCGTTTGCCCCAGCCGAGGCCCCAGCCGAGGGCCCAGCTGAGGGCCCAGCCGAGGGCCCAGCTCCACTGGGAGCCTGCCAAGATGCACTGGGGATGTTCGAAGATCCACTGGCAACCGGCGAAGATGCTCTTGAGGCCTTCTGATATCTACTTGGGACCTTTGAGGATCCTCTGGAGGCCTTCGCATATCTACCTTGGCCCTGAGATGATCCACTGGGGACCTTTAAAGAAACAATAGACATTATAAGAACAAATCATCTTGTTTCACGGTCATCTTACTCACAGCAGTTACAATGAAGCAAGCCATCATTCAGCATTAGTACTCTACCATTGCAATTCCTGTAGAGACTCCGTAAGTGAGCAACACTGCTGCCCAGAAGGTCACTGCTGCCATCTTCCACCAAACCAGACACCAGGAGACACAGTTGTTAGACAAATGATCTTTGGCAAGTACTTCAGTCAAGCACAAACACCTGTCAGAGGGACAGCAATGTCTGGGTACAGCACACCTATATAGTAAGGGATTAAGGAAGTTTAAGAGTCAAGTCATGTATCATGGGAGCAAGAGACCATTTTGCAAGAAGACCATGACAGTGAAAGGGGAAGAAAGGGCTTATCTCCACAACTCCAGACCAGCTTTAGATCACAGCAAAGTCAAGTAAAACACTACGCAAGTCTAAGTGTTATAATAACAAATTTCCATTTAAATGACACGGGCTCTGGCTCCTTCAGTCTTTTCACAGTCAGAATCTTTATTTTGAGTTTATTTCTTTTTGCTGGCAGTATCTCAAACTACATTTTATTGTACAACCCTGATTCCAAAAAGGTTTGCACTGTGTAGAACCAGCCTGTTCTCACTCCAGAGTCGTCAAATGCTTTGTCAATGATTTTGGCATCAGAGACCGTCACTAAAAGCCAGTTCTTAAGGTGGCAAAAGTTTAAGATAACCAAGCCATAAGAATAAAGGCTTTTTAACATTTCCAAAGAGAGTGCCTTGGAGTTTCCTGAGTTTTGCTAGTCCACATTTCTGGTTGGAAGAAGACACACACCTCCTCTTAAACATCATGAAAGACTTGGGTATCATTTTGGATATGCGCAAATATCAGAACACTGACCTTTTCAAGGAGGCGGCTGAAGGAATGAAACTATGGACTATGGAACTTCAGAACTTTGAAAAATTTCCAAATTTTATGCAAAATAAAAAAAGCAACAACAACAGCAAAGAAAACAAAAACAAAACCAAAACAGCACAAGCGGCACCAGCTGGTCCACTTTTCTACATTAGACATTCATTGTCATTAGCATTCATTGTCAGTAGCACATATTGACATTTGGTCATGGACCTTCTACGTCCAGATATGATGTGCAAGGTACTCCGGGTGTGTTCGTTGTTGACGTCCCTGCATTGTCTTCTTCCAAAATACACTTTGGTTTTCACAGGAAATTTACAGTTTGCACAGTCACTTCTAAAATAAAAGCAATACGTCAGTACAACAACGCAAATTGACATTTCTTTTCCTCCGACAACTAATGCACATGGTTGGGTTTAGGAAGAAAAGGACAGGGTTTGATGCGAACAAACCGGCTGTGCTGGATTTCGAGGACTACAGCGTGAGACCGGGTTGGAATAAAGGCAAAAGCTGGAATATTTTGTGCGTGTAAACACAGTCAGTGACATCCCAGAGTCATGCTGTGGATAAGAGAGACAGACTTCCCCACACTGCTCCTCTACAGTATTGTGTTGACTTACGGATGTTAAAATCCTACATGTATCACATGTATCACATTTCGTATCACACATGCATCACTTGTTTTAATTATGTGGACATTTGTGCCGCACAGTTTCATTTTCATGAGAGGCTGTGGGGACAAAATGTGGCCATTTCAAAGGAAATTTACACACACACACACACATACACACATACACACACACACACACACACACACATATACATATCTGATGGGTGTCACTTGCAGGCATTGTGCAACTTCCTGACCGAGCTGACTTCAGCGTCTCAGTCTGCGTTCATGTGCTGGCTTCCTCTTCCACCGCTCAATCTTTAACACATCAGAGATAAAACATAACACGTTCTCAGTGTCTAATCATTTACATGGTAAAACAAGGGGTATAAAAATTTTGAACTTTTTTTTTAATTTTGAAATTTTGAACTCCAAAAACTTTTGGATGTCTACAATGAGCTGATCTTTGAATATATTGTCATTTTTACCCGTTGAGATGGACGTTTGGTCTCCTAAACTGCACCTCGCTGCGTGGACAGTGATGCACCTCCTCTGTGTGTTTTCTCATGGTGAGTTGCTCACACCATGAGACAACACGACATGATTAAAGACGTGTATTTCATTTTGCAGCTTGTTTAAATGTTAAACCTTGCATGGTTTTCCAGGCGGGGGTTGGTTAAGACTGAAGTTGTTTTTATTGTAGACTTTAAACAACCGGTCTCAGATGTGTTTGGGCGTCGATTTGGATTAGTCTCAATAAAATCATTTCAGGGTTTATAATGAGCGTCCAAACAGGCAAGGTTTAACTTCTGTTTTTTTGTCGTATGTCACTGTGATCTGAGCGAGGTTTAATCTGTGTTTATTTTGCATTCAATTCTTTGCAAACCAACAGAAGAGGTTTGATGTGTTTACTGCTCTTTCATTGATACTCCAAGGTCAACCCAATGTACGAATACTAAACTCTCTATGATGGGGGATGTCTTACATACAGGGCTCCTGTTACCTAATGTATTGTGTCCCTTAAACACAAATCCATATTGTCATGTGACCCCCTGTCACTGGATTAATGGGGTTTGTGCCGACCATGGGGTTTTTGCTTCAAGCTTTGGTAAATGTGAAGTAATTTTAGAGGCTTGAGGAGATAAAACCATCCAGTATTTTACAAATCAATAGAAATAATAAATAAAAGAAATTTGAAAAAGTTTTAATCCTGACCACCAGGTCAAGAGTCACTGAAATAATCCATGTTTAAAATATAATTCAGACAGAAATTCCACTCAGTCATCTTGGTTTAGTTTGTCCAGATCGACCCTGTATCTTAAAATTAAGACTCCTGGGTGATGCATTTACATTCATTTTGGTTAACTTCAGTGTATCTGTTTAGTCATTCAGAACAAATCAGACTTGCAGATGGTGATGAGATCCTCGATCATCAGGTTGTGTTTTGACGTGATTTTCTAATTGCCAGTTTTCTGTGTCTTTGTGTGTCAGAGGTGACGGTGCGCCACTCTGACCTGAAGCCGTGTAAGGAGGACAACCGAGTGTGTGTCACTGACGACAGAGACTGTGGCCCTCGACCGCCGGCATCTATACAGAGTGAATACACACACAAACACACATACACATGTGTACATCTACTCAAATATTATATATAAGTGCAAATTTGACGTACTTGTACTTTACTTGAGTATTTCCATTTAATGCAGCTTTATACTTCTAGTGTTGTGGAGTGTAATACTTTTAAGTGATTATGTACTTTTACTTGAATAAGGTTTAAAATGCAGGACTTTTACTCGCATCACTTTTACTTAAAGGGGCAAAAAGTGAAATCGTTTCACCGCTAGGTTTGCTGTTGTGCACTGCCTGTAGACCAAAACAAAGTGTATCATGAGCCACTCCTCCCTCTGCCTCTGCTCTCCATAGCTGTTAAGTTACTCCAGTAGCCGGTGGCAGTTGACTCGGCTAGTGCTAACACCGGGAGCTAACGCTAACGTTCCTCCTCTTCTCCGTGAGTGAGAGCGATGTTTTAGCCTAGCGGGCAGCTGCTCAAGCTCCAGACATGAACCCATCCCGGTGTTTCCTCCGCAGCCTCCACTTCACCCAGCTTCACTCAGCTGCCCGATAAACCCGCTGCTTCTTCCCACTTTAACCTGAAGCAATGTTTTAAAACATCGCTCTCACTCACGGAGAAGAGGAGGAATGTTAGCGTTAGCTCCCGGTGTTAGCACTAGCTGGGTCGGCTAGAGACATCGGCTGCCACTGGCTACTTGAGTAACTTAACAGCTATGGAGCGCTTCTATCAGCTCTTGTAGTCACTGAGCCTCGCCTCCATCTCAGCAAATATATTACAAAAATGTAACCTGGCGGGCTGCCTGCGAGCCCGCCAGGCTGCCCGAGAGGCTACATTTTACAATGCTAATTGAAAATGTTAGCTGGGCTGCCGGGCTAACTTACTCACTTAACACAACCGTAACGCCTGACCCATTGCTGGGACCGAGCCGCTAATAACTCAAGCTCCGGACGTTAACCCATCCCGGTGTTTCCTCCGCAGCCTCCACTTCACCCAGCTTCACTCAGCTGCCAGATAAACCCGCTGCTTCTTCCCACATTCACATGAATGTACATGAACGCGCAGCCGGACCGGCTTGTAAACAATTGGCTGGAGATCAACACAGAGAGAGGGTGTGTGAGGTCATGCTATACTCCAGATGAAATTACACCTCTAGTTCTTCACATAGCGATTCCTTCAATCTAGAAATGATGAATTTTGCTTATTGCTCCTTTAAAGCTCCAGTGTGTAGGATTTAGGGGGATACATTGGCAGAAATGGAATTTAACTCCCACCTCCCTCCAAAGGCCTACTCCCCCCTCCTCCATTACGTCCTCATTACGTCTATGATAGACTTAGGCGTTGGCAAGGTAACGTTGCACTCGCTCTCCGGTGGAGGTTTCTGTTAAGTGCTGTAAAGTTTAATTGATTCAAAACACACATTAAACACACATTAAACATGGCTTAATAGAGACAGTTTCAAACAAAAGTACACAACTCAGCTTCACTATAACTCGCAGCATTCACAGACAAACACTTGTCTTTATCTGGACACATTTTCCCCACAAATACAACATGCTAACGTTATTAGCACAAGCCTATGGCATTTTACATTGTATAAATTAGCCTAGCGACGGGCGGAGATCTCCTCCTCTCATATGAAACCTGGATAAATCCCTGAAGGAAAAATCACACAGTGATTGGTCAGAGTTTTCTTAGAACCATAACCAGAATGGTATAATTATGAGTTTGGATCTCTGGTGGAATTCACTTACATTTTAGTGTGCCATCAGCTTATTAATAGATGAAAGGCAAGTGTTGCTTTAAGTTATCAGAAAAAAAAAGGTGAGCACACATGACAGGTGCTGGGAGAGCGGCTCATCTGTGATTTGCCAAACAGTGTAGAGGAAGCACTGAGTTGTAATGTTAAACTGCTTAATTCTGTTTTTTTATCGGTTTTAATCGCCTGGTCCATTTCTTTTGGAGAGGAAGAGGAGACCTTTGCGAAGAATTCAGCTCCTGGTCAAAACCTCCTGAACAATGAACACTGAAGAAATCCTAACTGGGAGCTCAGGCTTGCCACATAGGGGAGGTTTCAGCTGGTTGTAATGTGCAATCCTCACAACTAGATGCCACCAAATCCTACACACTGCTGCTTTAAGCAAAAGTATCCCAATACGTCTGTCACTGCTGAGAGTCAGATATTTTGATGTTGGCTCTGTCAGACATATACTGTGAAATTGCCTTCAAGATGTATTTCTATAGAATTTGTTTCATGATATTAATTCAATAACAGCTGTTGTGGGTGAGTTTGCATGTGGATATTATGCAGAGAAGTCAGGTCACTTTTCTGTGGCTTTTTGACTAATTTTGACAAAGTGAGTCCCCTTTGAGCTGTGTTCTTCAAATGTTATATTTACAAATCCAAATATTTAACTCTAAATGGTTCCAATACCAAACAACAGAGAACAGCAGAGGGAAATTTCTTTGCGAATCCCGAGTCAGTGGGAATTTAAACTTCAGGACCTAGCTATCGGGTCAAAAGCATTACCTCATTAGCTGGCTCACAATGTTATCAAGCAAATAAAAACATGTACTCTGTTGAAAAACCAGAATGCAACACTTTTTTTTTTGCTCCCATTTTTCACAATTTGAAATAAAAGATCTCAGACTTTTGGGGGCGGCTGTGGCTCAGGAGGTAGAGCTGGTTGTCCTGAAATTGGATGATCAGCAGGTCGATCCCGGCTCTTCTGTATCCCTGGGTAAGACACTGAACTCCAAATTAGATTCCTGCACAGGTCCATTTTTGAAAATCCACACCCACTCATGCCTGTAAAGCTCAGTACCAGAACCGACCTATTACCCGTCATTACGTCTAAGTCAAAGCCACACCAGGCCGCACCTGTTGATACAAGTCCTGCGTCCTCCCCACTTCCGTGATTAAACACACACAGGCTACAGTCATTGCCTGTAAACTAAATACTGCTTTCACTAACGTAAGACGTGTGTCGTTTCCCTGCAGACACCCTGAACATGTCCTGTGGCTACCAGCATACACACAGATCCATGACATGTGAGTGGAGTCAGGAGTCAAACAGCCACACTAAGTCTCACGTCTCTCTCATCTTCAGCAGGTAAACAAAGGAAGTCGGCTTAATAATGAGCTCATTTTGTAAGTTGCACTCCAGGGGCCGTATGCACAAAGCTTCCTGTCATGAAGAGTTGCTCCTAGTGATGAAATTTGTTCTGTGTGCAAAATTATTATGAATCATTTTGTTTTTCATAGATTTAGATGCTTTGTGGCGGTTTTCCAGAAACTCTTGAAATGTAAATTTTCAATGTATTCTAAATAATGTGCCAATGTAACATTTGGTGGTTTGGAGAGACGTTCAATGCACATTTTTCTGGTGATTGGGTTTGAAACAAAACTACACTTTTATGCCTTGACAACTGTTCAGTTGAGAATCCTTCTGGACTGTCGTGACAGATCTTGAAGATGGAAATCTGGTGCGATCGAACAAGCTCTCATTCTGTTTGAGTTCTTCAGAATTAACCCATGATGTCAAGAAAACAAAAATCATTTTCTTGTGATAGATTATCTCGTTAACTCAGAGATCCACCTTTTGTTTGCTCGAGAACCGCAATACATTTACCTGTTATCAGAGGAAAAGGAGCTGTTTAATCTGCCTTTCTCAGCTTCTGTATATAACCACATACTCCAGCTTTAATCACGTCATATTTCTGACATGTAGAGGGTCAGCCTGTTAAAGTGCATTTACAATTTTGTGTTGTAATAAAGTGTAAAGATTAAACGACAGATGTGTAATATGAAACCTAATCCCTGAGCTGGTGATTTAGTTTCAAATTCGCTCCTTTTATTCTTCCTCCTCAGAGAATACAGAGTCTTGTCCTGTCCAGCGATCTTTGCCCCATTGTCTGTCCTCAGCGTTACAGCCAGGATCAAAAACTACATGACAGGAACGGAGATCTGGTCCCAACCTCAAACTGTCTCTCTCCATCAGGCAGGTCAGTGGCCCAGACAGTTGATCACTCCACTACCAAGTAACGACTGTAATACCAGTTAGTGTTTTTATCAAGCAGCAACCTCCAGGCTGAAAAATGAAGCCCACATAGAGGTGGTTAGGGTGAGGCAGATTTAAGAACTGACAGACTGACTGTAGACAGATTCTGATCAAGCAATTCTCCCTGCATCCTTTCCTCATGTCCTCTCCTTGTCTCCTCTCCTCAGTCAAGCCCTCTCAGCCTGTATTAACTGTCCTTGGCTTCACTGAGGACTCTGTGGTTGTGTCTTGGAGAAGCAGCGGTGACGGCGGCTGTCGGCTTCGCTACAGAGTCGACAGCACTGACACATGGACCCAGGTCAGCACCATAAAAACATACTCATGAAAGGCAGAATGTAACTAAGGCCATTTACTCGAGTACAGTACTCAGGTACAAGACATTTTACATGACTAAACTTTACATGAGTATTTTCATATTATGTAACTTTATATCTTTCCTCCACTACAGCTCAGAGGTAAATATTTTTACCGCACTACATTTGTCTGACAGTTTCAGTTGCTCTTCAGTGACAGTAAATGACACCTCTTGTCACGGAGCTGAGTGGCTGCAGAGATGCTTTGTTTTCATCTCACAGGAAAGTAGAGGATCTAAGCAGTACATCATGAGTACAAATCAACATTTAATATAGCGGCAAATCTCTAATCTGAGCTTCTCCAAGGTCGTGTGTGCATTTTATTGCACATGTGTATCCCATTGGCTAGCCATCGCTGCTGCTCTGCACTGTGCTCATATGGTAGTTACCACTGATATTAGGACGGCATTATCAAAGAAGCTGTTCACCATCCTGTTCCCTAAAATGTTCTCATTCCAGCTTGTCAAATACTGATGCTTTGTCAGTGGACCTACAGTACATATCTAAACATGACACTAGGTATCCTGCATCTGTTTTAGACTCTCAGAGCTGGCGTGTCAACACTCTTGTTACATGGATTTTGTCTTTTGAAAATACACCTCTGTTTCTGCTCCTTTCATGCGCACAGTCTTTTTCAAAATAAACCTACAATGTTGATAAAACACTCCATTTTTAGGGTCCGGGCAGCTAAGCTGCCAGGACACTATTGTAATCCTAGGTATTCTTCTTCTTCTTCTTCTTCTTCTTCTTCTTCTTCTTCTTCTTCTTCTTCTTCTTCTTCTTCTTCTCTCTTCTTTCTTCTTCCGAGGAAATCATACTTCCCATGGGTGAAAACTCACCAAACTTTACACAAAGGTCCAGTCTCATGCCAGATATCCTCAGCTGTAAACTCAAGCCAATAGTCCTGATGGTGGCGCTACAGCAAGCGTCTAAAGTTCAAAACTTTGAAAATTCATAACAAATCAACCATACGTGCTACAACTGTAGCCCCAATACTGAAGAAACTTTTGTACATTTAAACCTATTAAAATTATTAAGTTCATCACTCTGTTTTTTTCAAAAACTGTAAAACTTCTTAAACCTATCTCCTCCCACAATTTTTGCTCAATTGACACCAAACTTGCTACAGAGCATCTTCAGACTGTCCTACAAAAACTATGTTTCTCAGATTTTTGATTTATCAAAAATTGAGCCTACAGTGCATCAAAATGTTTGACTGTAAACAGTACTGTAAACATATACATGCAAATTCTTGCTAAATAAATCTTCAGTGTTCATGAAAAAAGACAAAACTCTAGAGTCATGGTAGATGATGTGTGGCAAATTTCAGAATTTTATCTCAAAAACTGAATTTTTGACAGTGTTAAGATAATTCTGCAATACTTTAGAACTGGAGGAAGGAGATTGGAGTCAGCTCAAAATTCAAACAAGGGTTTAATCTTGTACAAGAGGAGCATTCACAGAGCAACATGCAGGTCGGTTACAAAGTGAAGACTTAATGTCTAAGGAGAAAAGCTATATATTTATCTGTCTCTGTGGGTGTGTTATCACTCTGCCCTTCTGCACTTAAAGGAATCATTCACAAAGAAGGAAGTGATAACCTTGAGTATATATTCAATACCTTGAGTGATTATTCAATACCTTACATGTGTCATGAAACAACACAAAGGGTCACAAGTCACAGGTCACAATTACATTGAACATTCCTGCGTGTGACTTCAGTTCACATCTCTCTTCATGAAGTACAAAATTTCCATCACAGACAGCATTTTGACTTTTGCTCTAATGTGAACAATTGGAGTCAATGTAAAAATGGCAATTTTAAACATCAGTTTTTCACTTATGGAGCAAATCAATCACTGTTACAAACAAATTACCAACATCTCCATGCTGTCTAGATGCAATATGTGTATTTTCAGATATTTGTCTTAATAACTGAATTTTTTTTACAGTGGTTTCAAATCTGCCTTTCCATGCACGGATGGCTGCTTTCCTACACAACAGTGAATGGCTTACTCAGTTTGTGAAGCCACTGTTGAGTTGCTACTTGCCAATTAGCTCAGAGCGGTAGATGACCGTCTAAGGTTCTAGAGGTTGCGGGTTCGAGCCTCAACTGGTGCAGAATCCACATTGTAATCTAAACATCTTAATCATCTTCCTGTGCTCCAGTTTATTGCTTAAAATTGCCTGAGCGTGACTGATCACTGTGCAGCATCTTCAAGTCTTCGTCCTGCTAGAAAATCTGCCTTCTCATGCTTGAAAATAAACCAAACTTTACACAAAGATCCAGTGTCAATACTTCAGTGTGAAACCATCTGAGGATTCTCACTTTGCACATAGCTCAACTAGTTAAACATCAGTTTTTCACTTATGGAGCAAATCAATCATTGTTAAAATAAATTACCAACATCTCCATGCTGTCTAGATGCAATATGTGTATTTTCAGATTTTTGTTTCGATAACTGAATTTTTTTACAGTGGTTTGAAATCTGCTTTTCCATGCATGGATGGCTGCTAAACCTGCACGTCTGGCTTAGTCAGTTTGTGAAGCTACACATGAACTGTCACTGACTGATTAGCTCAGTGAGATAGAACTTGATTCTTAGTCTCAGAGGTTGTGAGTTCAAGCCTCAGCTGATGCAAAAGGCAGATTGTGTTGCTAAATTCCTAAATGTCTTCCATTTCTTCTGCTTGTTGCTCAGAATTGCCTAAAAATGCCCGGACCCGACCCATCGCTGCGCAGCAGCTGTAATTAGGTTTTTTTTTTTAGGTTTAGGCAACAAAGGTCCGTGGTTAGGTTTTGAAACAACATCATGATTTGGCTTAAAATTCACATGAGAAATGAACAGCAGGCTCCAGAGTTTGTTGACCCATCCATCATCCCTCCCACTCCTCCCTATATGGACTTTGTTGCTCTTTATATCACGCCGCCCAGTGTGTATCATACTGCAGGGAAAGGGGGCCTCTGTCTACAAGTGTCTGATGCCAACGTTCCCTGACAGTGCAGTGGAATTTGTTGAGTTGGATGCTTGACCGCTGTCTCTAAAACTGACACGCCTGGTGAGTATGATACTGCTGTGAAAGGTGCCTTTGCGTGTTGATCTCTGACATCGACACAACTGACAAAATGGCAGTATTTAACAATTTGGATGTGCGGACTAACACCATTTTTCATGACCGTTTTAGTGTTGCCCTCGGTTTTGACTTTGGCACCATCTTTTTCTGGAGCTAAGGTGTTACTGAGAGCTCTCAAACCAAATGCAATCATATATGTGTTTAGAGGGAGAATGGAGAGCTATACAGTCACCTTACAGAGTGTTATAGCAATAATACAGAGCACCTTACTTAGAAATATTTTTGAAGAATGTTTTTAGGTGACATTTTGATTGAGTCAGCTGCCACTATTTATCTCTTGTGCTTTTTTTGGTTTCCAGGCTCTAGATTTTGTCCCTGCCCAGGAAGATCAGACATTGACCTACACGATCCAAGACCTCCTGATGTCTACCATCTACAGGGCTGCTGTGGCCTGCAGATCGAAGTCAGGCATCTGGAGTGACTGGAGCTCTGACGTCAGTGCGAGGACGCTAGGCAGGGGTAACTGCTTGCATTCATCAAGTTACAGGGCGGGGACTTTAACAACCATGGGGGGAACACTGAGAATAAGACTTACTAAATTTATTGAAATACTTTCCCAGTATACCTGGTACTACGACAAAATAAGCCAGTGGTATTAAATCAGTATTTTTGAGCGCTGTAGTTAACTAAGGCTTGAAATCTTGTGCTTTTCTTTCCCAGTGCCCTCCAGGCCTCCAGAGGTGTGTTACAGAGTGGAGAAAAATGACTCTAGTGGATCTTTTCTCCTTCATCTCATATGGAAGGTACACTGGAAATACTTTCAATAATCATCTTATAGCAGCTCGTAGCTTATAGCAGCTCATAAAAATGTTCTCGAAGGCCTCTCTTGACTTATCTTTGATGGCCAGTTATCTTCAGGGAATCTTCAAGCACAAGCAGCATCACTAAAAAACAGAGACAGATTTGATCTTTGCAACAACCAGTGTCCAAAAAACATAAGATGTTTAAATATGTCAGAAATACTGCACACTAATTAGACCATTATCTCTTAAATCATTAGCTGTGTTTGTTTTTTGGTAAACATTTTTCAGCAACCAAAAATAGAAACTAAATTTGAAGTGAACACTAGACTTTTTCGTCAATCCATAAAATCAAAATGATAATATGAAAGAGCGACAATTGAACTAATTACTGGTTAAATGCAAAATCTTATTGGCTCTAATTGGATTACATCTGTCACACTGTAGCTGAGCTCCTGATTAGTAAAACTGCATCCTCCTGCAAAAATAGTCTTTGAGAGGTGATTTAGCTGTTTGACCTAGCGTAACATTGCACTAATAAGCAGCATCTGACATTTCATAAATGTTATGTCTAGAGGTAGAAAAAAACAGATTTAAGGATAAATTAAACATACATAACAAAAATTAGGCAAAAAAATCACTGTAAATGTCACTATAACAAAATGTTCACTGACATAAAACTCAAACCAACTAAAATTTGACAAAAACTAAAAAAAAAAAAAAAAAAAAAAAAAAAAACTCAGACCGAAACTAAACCAAACTCAAACTTTCAAACGATTGTCTCTAGACAAATGTGATATGAAACATCTTTTGCAATCGTCCTGTTTCTCTGCAGGACCTTCACCTCCGTGATGCTGGAAGTCATATCCTTGGATACCAGGTGAGCTACGAACCGGTGAAGAGGCAGCCGCTGCAGGACAGGTTCATTCAGAACGTCACAGAGGTGATGGCGGTCCTGGTGGTGGAGGAGGGGGACTACAGCGTCACAGTTACAGCCTTCAACATGGCCGGCTATGGACCTGCTGCACATCTCCGCATTGACACACAAAGACAGCACAGTGAGTGCCCAACAGTGGTTATAACATGGAAATTGATCATTGTGTTAATAGTCCTGGTGATGTGTTGAGGTGCACCAAGGAGCAGAGGATTTCTGAACATTTGTGAGTCCATGACACACAGTCATGTTACCAACACTTAAGAGCACATTATATTGACTTACATTGACTTACCCATCCCTAACCTTTGCCTCGATCTAACCTTACCAGAACCTAGAAGGCCCAGTGTGTAGGATTTAGGGGGCTATACAGGCAGAAATGGAATATAATGTAATGAGTATGTTTTCTTTAGTGTATAATCAGCTGAAAATAAGAACTGTTGTGTTCTACATGGTTCTTAATTCATGGAGATCACCATGTTGCACCGCCATGGTTCTACAGTAACCCAGAATGGACAAATCAAACACTGGCTCCAGATGAGGCCATTTGAGTTTTCGCTTTTTCGCTGCAGTAGTAAGAAGCCCATCTGCAATGTGCTGCACCAGAGTTACAATAATTCAAAATGTAAAACTGCATTATTCAGTGTTTCTAGCGGATTAAATCACCTGGTCTGTTTGTTTTGGAGAGAAAGAGACCTGTGTGGATAATTCAGCTCACAGTAAAAACCCTCTGAACGTCTAGCTCTTATGTTATCGGAGAGATAAAGGTGACTACACATTAGCGTGTGTGTGGACCAGCGACATGCCAAACTGCATTAAAAATACATGGATTTGTGGGTGAAACTGCGTTATGCAGTGTTTTACCAGTTTAAATCACTGTGTTTGTTCTGGAATGGAGGACACCTCTGTGGATAATTCAGCTAACAGTAAAAACTCTTTGAACGTCTGGATCTGAAAAGGTGAGCACACGTTAACTCATGAGAGAAACACATTGAGGGCAAGCCTTGAGAGGCCAAATAGCATCAGAAATGCACTGATTTGTAATGTGAAACTGCTTTATTCAGTGTTTCTAGTGACTCTAATCACCTGGTCCATTTGTTTTGGGGAGGAAGAGACCTCTGTGGATATTTTGGCTCTCGATAAAAACTTCCTGAACAATGAACACTGAACACAGAATTAGAAATGGTTGCAATCTGCAATTCACCGCTAGACGCCACCAAATCCCAACTAAATCTTACATACTTCACCCATTAGCCAAGTCTTCAGCCTAAGATTTAATCGTTTACATTATGGGGACTTGTGTTTTGTCCCTAAAAGGAGGCGAGTCCCCACAACGTACTGTGTGGATTGAAATCCCCACAATGCCAGTAATACACACACACTCACACACATGTGTACAGAACTATGTTTATCTATTAAATTGCTAATTATCATTATCATCCTGTAACTTTTAAACGGACACTATCAGATTTAAAACTTGCAATCTCCACTTAAGCAACATCCTGTTTGTTTGCTATCACAGAAGGGTGCGACCGAGCAGCGTCATGATGCTCTGATAAAGCGTTTTGCAACACAGCACCGCTCTTGCAAAGAGGATCAAACCAGGTCGCTCACCATTTTCCTCTAGAGAACAGAAAGAATCTCAATCTGCAGGGCGTAAGATGGTGTTAGATGGCAGTTACCTCAAGGCTGTGTGGTTACAGTTTACATCTTAACATATCTGAAGTATTTTGCTTGTTGTTCATGGATCTCTGTGATATACTCTTCTGCCCCTCTCCCTTGTCACCCTGCAAAATGATGGATTGTGTGTGATGTGTTAATGTGCTTGGAGGTATCTCCAAAAATAGGGATTAAAAATTTGTCAGCTGGTTCCATGATGTTAGTATGTCGGTGTCCGTGCTGGTTGTAGTGATGAAGATGCAGCTGTTTTTGTCACCACTAACCCTGTTGTTGTTCTCTGCAGCCCCCCTGTCAGTCAGAAACTTGTGGGTTTCCAGTTTCTTCCCAGCTGTGAAAGGCGTTCTGGTGCAGTGGGAGAACCCCCCAGTCTCGTCCTCTGTCCCATCTGTCAGTCAGCTTGGTGTTCAGTGGCACTCTGAGACTTATCCATCCACCAGCCACTGGAACACAGTGGACAACTTCACCACCTCCACTGTCATACAAGGTGCAACTCATTTATTTTCTGAATTATGCATTTGGGAATATAATATCCAAGTACACCAGGCTGTTCTCATACCTATGTCCTTGGACACTTTGGCACATCCCTTGGCATGTAATATCGATACCAAAGGCACGCTTTAGTTTCTTTATGAGGTGCCTGTCTAATGTAAACCCATCTGCGGCAATACTTTATGCTAAGAGCAACTGACATAGTACATAAAGAGCACCAAGCGACTATTGACAAGGATTTTTTGTGTCTACAACCTGATTTATTTTCTCCCTCTGAGCCTGTCTTTATAAAACTATGTACTGAGCCACGCTGTTGTTTTTTTTGTATCATCTTGTGGGATTTATTTATAGTAACAAAAATACAGATTAAAGAATATCATCAGCCTCGGGGGAAATCTAAACACATGCCTCAAAACTGTATGTTGCATGCTGTGCATCAGGTTTCTCTGATTTCCGCTGTAATCTAACACCATCTAAAAACTGCTCTGTCACATGGAAGCCATGTGGTTATTGTGATCCATCAGCTTGTGGCTGTCAGACTCTTGTTAAAGCAAATGGCCACTTTAGAATGAAAATACAGACAACTTACTGACCCTCATGCCAACAAGAAGTCCAGTGTAGTTTTTTAATCCACAAAACTCATTCGGTATATTGGAGGACAGCTAGCTGGAACACTTGAAGTGCATGGAAGCCACATTTTGAAAATGTAATAAAGCTCCGCTAATGCATTTCAAAAACGTCAGAACAGCTCGTCTGTCGTAATTCAAGTGCTGTGAAGCCGCAGCATGCAAAATTGACTTGAACAGATGTAATTTACTCCACTTTTATAGCATCATTTCTCACTGTGGTCAGTTAGCCTGTCCTGCAGGCATGCTGTGTTTACATGGCAACTCATGCGAGATTTGAGAACTAGCACCACCACCACCACCATTCCTTGTGGAGTCCGCTCCACTTATAGTACGCCTGAGTATGTTCAGGCCTTAACAGTCCCTTGGTTAAACTCCATCCGCTGTCTCTTAGGCGATGTAGCTACGAGCCAATACAGTTAGGAAATGTTTTGGGCTGCAGGGCTGAGTTTCCCAAAACATGATCCTTCTCAGCAACGTGTTCTTCTCTGTGGCTTAGAAAAACTACACTGCAAAAAAGAAAAGCACCTAGCGCCCTTTGCGTCCCCACTCAGTCATCTACAGCCAGGACATACTCAGTATAGATGACATTAGTGTGCGTGTGTGAAGGTTGCGGAAGTTGCTTTTCTCAGTAACGCATTACTTTTTGGTTTAAGTATCTGAGTTACTAACTGAGTTACTTTTTAATGAAGTAACTAGTAACAGTAACTAGTTACTATTTTTCAGTAACTAGCACAACACTTGGATTACGACGGACGTGCCGTTCTGACGTTTTTGAAATACATTAGCGGAGATTCATTACATTTTCAAAATGTGGGTTCCATGCACTTCAAGTGTAGCTGTTATTCCGGCTAGCTGTTATCCTCCGATACCCCGAACAAGTTTTGTGGATTAAAAAACTTGACTGGACTTCTTGTCGGCATGAGGGTCAGTAAGTACTGTCTTTGTTTTCATTCTAAAGTGGCCATTTCCTTTAAGTTGCTGTAAGAAGCAAAGTCTCTCTGCAGCTGCTTCACAGTAGAAGTCTTCCAGCAGAGAAAAGTGATCAAAAGACGCTAATGAAAAATAAAAGTCCCATCTCAAACACAGGCCTGATTTCACTCTGTAGCTGAGGTGAATTAATATTAAAAGTATATGTTGTATTCACAGCATGTTATGCATATCTAACTACGATAAGATAAGATCAAACTTTATTAATCCCACAGCAGCTCAAAGCACAGACAGAAAAAGGAGGGTGACAATGTTACTTGAATAAAAAAAAATTAAAGATTAAAAATAGAAAATATGTGTGTGTGTGTGTGTGTGTGTGTGTGTGTGTGTTTACAGATGTTGACCCTGATGAGTCGTACCTGATCAGTGTGTTCCCCATCTACAACCAGCAGTGTGGATCTCCTCGGTCACTGCGTGCCAGTCTGCAGCAGGGAGGTAACATGGGGGTGATAATGCTCCACACCAGAAATAATGTTGGCATTGCACATTTCTGTAAACCACTGATATGTTACATTTACATGTTATCATAAAGTGAACAAACTTCAGGTTTCAGCAGTGCTGCGGTGAACATGTGGTTAAGTTTTAGCACGAAAACCACTTGGTTATAGTTTGGAAAAGATCATGTTCTGGCTTAAAATACGGCTGGCTTAGGTTTGGTGCCACAATCCTGACATGAAACACAGCAATGTCTTGGTTAAAAAACAACAGCTGTTTGTGTCTAAACACTGTTGGCAGAATCACATTTACAACAGAAAGAGAAATGAACAAGACATATTTTTGTGTGTTTTCTCAGCTCTGATGGAGGCGGTCCAATTGAAGGTGATGGGCGTGACCAAAACCACTGTGACAGTGATGTGGGTGTGGCAAAGAACATCTGGACCAATGAGGGTGAACAGATACGAGGTGACGCTGAGGAAAGACTCGGAGAAACAAAGTAGGTTTATGTTTTTATTTTTACACAATTTGAAACACATTAAATAACAAAAAAAGTGCAGCGAGAGGCAGACTGAAAGCTCTACCTAAAGAAAGTTAAAAAATTACACAGTAATGAAAAAACTGAAATATTAATTTAACATAAAATAATATGACAACATGAAAGTGATAGCAAACTAATAAATATATAATACAACAACAACAATAATTTAAACACATGAAAGCAGAAAAATGTGAGTGTGTAATGTGCATGAAAGTGTTAATGCATCTGTATGTACATGTAAGTATATACGTCAGTGTGCATGCATGTGCACGTGTGTGAGTGTTGCGTGACAGACCGACAGAATGAGCTGCTTTTTCTGATGAATGGACTTCTGCCGGTATGTCACACATCCTGGAGGATCTCAATGCTGATTGGTTATCGTGGTGTAAATATGTTTCTGAAGTTCAGATTTTTCAACTCTTGTGAATAAGTGTATGATGTGAAATCACGCTACTCGCTTAATTTGCGTTATTCGTGTTGTGTCCATCGCGCTGCCTAGTGGGAATTCACCTCCAATTGTGTATTTATATCAACTTTACATGTAATTCACTTCACCGCAAACTGTTTTATTCGCATCTGGCATGAACACAATAAAATGAAACTAATAAACATGGATACATGGACAAAAATACATGACAAACAACAGTTAAATGTTCTTTTCAGCAGCTTTTGTATTTTTTCATAGACAAACAGTTTTTGCCAGGTGGGAAAAGCCATTCCATAATTTGGCACCCCTAAATTTGACTGAAAACTGACCTCTGCATGTGAGAAGTTACGGAGGATGAAGATCTGAAAATTGTCAAGTTACATAGGAGTGAATATTCCCCTCACTTAAATGTATCTTATGAATAAAAACACAGACTTGAGAAGTACTAATGTCATAAACAATAAGAATCTGAAGTTTGTGAAACAGGAGCAGATGAGATGTAAGGCTCTGATTGGCTGGTTATTTCTAACAGAACCTTTCTGGAGGACCAAAGTTTTGTGGAAAGTTGAAGGAAAAGTACTCACCCAAACTATTTCAATAATTTAGACTGCAATGTGAAGTTGGGAAACAGTTTGTGGTAACAAGATGACTAATCTTCCTCATTATACCAATAGGTTAACAGAAGTTTTCTTATTAAAGGAAATGGCCACTTTAGAACGAAAATACAGACAGTACTTACTGACCCTCATGCCGACAAGAAGTCCAGTGTAGTTTTTTAATCCACAAAACTTGTTCGGGGTATCGGAGGATAACAGCTAGCCGGAATAACAGCTACACTTGAAGTGCACGGAACCCACATTTTGAAAAAGTAATAAAACTCCGCTAATGTATTTCAAAAACGTCAGAACGACTCGACCGTTGTAATCCAAGTGCTCTCAAGCTGCGGCATGCAAAATTGATGAACAGGCATAATTTACTCCACTTTTATAGCATCATTTCTCACCGTGGTCAGTTAGGCTGCCCTGCAGACTGCTGTGTTTACATGGCAACTCGCATGAGACTAGCTGATGGCTAGTGGTGGTGGTGCTAGTTCTCAAGTCTCACGCGAGTTGCCATGTAAAGACAGCACTTTGCAGGGCAGGCTAACTGACCACAGTGAGAAATCCATTTTGTGGATTAAAAAACTACACTGGACTTCTTATCAGCATGAGGGTCAGTAAGTACTGTCTGTGTTTTCATTCTGAAGTGGCCGTTTCCTTTAATGTGTCGCAGCATCTGTCAGTGGGTTTACCTGTATCTTGAGAGCTAATTTTAAGTTACAGTACTGGAATGCTAAAAGTGTTTCTAGACATGAATCCCAACTCAGTTTCTTGCTAAAAAAAACATATTTTTGTCTTATGAATAGAAATGATGGTTGCCGTTAAGTGTCGAGTGACATTACTATTATCATTAAACCCTTTATTTAAACATCTAGAAGTTGTCTTTTACTATCTGTAACTTCAGATCATGGTCTCTGCTCTCCAGCTCTGTCTCTGTGGCCAGACCAATGTCAGCACACCTTCCTCAACCTGACACCCAACACTGAGTATACTCTTTGCTTATTGGCCGATGATGTTTCCAGGAACCTCATCTTAGTGAGAACAGCCTTTGGTGAGTTTAACCCATGACATTCAGAATGGCATAGACTTAGCTTTCTTGCTTTGTGCATACAAGCAATGATTAAACTGACATCTAAAATAAAATACTGGTTTTGCTTTTTGGTTTAAGAACTTGACTTTTCAGTTTTTATCATTTTATTTGTGATGATGTTGTATGTGGTCTAAAGCCTGGAAAATGACTTTTAACATAAATACATGAATAAAACAGTAATAATATAAATAAATCAGTGCTTTAGGTGGCTCAGGGTGTCAGTGTTCTCCTCACTGTTGTACTGTGTTATCGACAGTGTGACTTCAGGTCGAGGAGAATAAAAACATTAACATTAGTAACATGTTTCTTCATTTCAGATGAGGTCCCAGCGGTGGCTGCAGTGACTCCTCTGCTGCTGTTGGCTGTTACTGTGTTCATCATCTCCATCCTGTCCAGGACTCTGTGAGTCAACACACACATCACATCACATTACATCTGAGGGCTCCAATAAATATCACAGGGATGCACCCACTGCTCTGTCACTACACCATCCACAGTCAGACACGCATGGCTGCTTATTTACTGCTGAATCACAGCTCACAACTCGCACCAAAGGCTGAAGCTGCTCCGATGTGAGTGTTTTTGCTGCCTAGCGAAGCATCCTGGCGCTGACTATTTCCTGGAGTTTATGAGACTGTTGCTCCTGCAGCATTTGAAGATAACTGACAATTCGATAAGTCCCGCCCCTTTGTGATGGTCCAACAAGATGTCAGAGTAAGCATGGAGCCCACACTGTCGCTAACTGCACTCCCTGAACAAATAATATCATATATTTGGAGCAATGAAAGAGTGATTCCAGATAGAAGCAGACAGAGGGGTCTACAGTGTGTGTTTGAAGGATATATCCAGGATGTCAAACTGACTCAGCAGCAACAACAGGTTAAAAAGACACCCGGACCTCCGCCGCTAGACGGACAGGGATCTCCGGGGGCAGTCAAACAACGTTCATCTGCACACACTGTGATGACACACAGCTGGTTGAATATCAGCAAAGTCTCCCTGCTTCCCTTCACTGGTTCCTGTACAGCAGGGTCGGTCTTTGTTTAACTGTTATAATCATTAAAAAGCAAAAGCAGCATGTGTATACATTCAGCAGGCTATATCTTCAGTAGCTAGCTAGCTAACCCTACACTTTTCAGGGTTTGATTTTGGAACAGGGAAGAAACGTATATCTGTTTCCAACCTCTCCAGGTAACGAGTATCATTAATACACGACGTGCCCCAGGCACAACATTTAGCTCCCAATTCACAACACCAGCCTGAAAATGAAGGAAATCTGAAACGACTGCATTAGAGTCAATGGAGCACAGCTGTGTTGTTGTTGGACCCTGGTCTGAGCCGACCAGATGCTACGTTTTGATTGGCCAGTCTGCGTCCAGACTTAGTGAAGGGTCAATTGCAAGCATGGCTGTTTACACATATAAACTATTACATACACTAAATTGACTTTCTTACTCCAGCTCCTCTTAAAGTAAAATTCATTTCTTGTTTATGACTGCGCAGGTACAAGTCGTACTTCTTCCCGCCCATCTCCAGCCCGCGGGGCAGTACGACAGGCAAGTGGCTGATGGACCCAAACCACCAGGTGAGTTTGGTTTATTATGGTGTTATTGTCATTTTGCTTTTAATCTCATGTTCAGCTTTTCAGTGATGCTTGTTTTATGGTATGTGTTGCTGTTGCTGATGTGTTTTTAATATTCTTTTGCGCTCAGTTGTGCAAAGCAAATTCCCCTCAGGGACACAAAGGTTTCATTCATTCAGACTTTCTTAAAACAAGGAAGAAATCTGCATCTTTATTATTATTTGCTTTCTTTCTTTTTAAAAAGGTCTCTGTGTCCTAAAACAAGACCAAATAAAGCAGGTTTACTTTTTGTAAAAGGGGATTTTGCTCTCTGTTTATACCTTGAAGAAGGTCAGTGACTGTAAGTCAGTGTGCTGATGCTCTTTTCAATGATTTGTGATGGTTTTATAGCTCCAGCACCTCAATTAGGTGTGACAGCTGGTGAGTGAGGTTCTTTTTTTGATTTTTAAAAATACATTTTGTAAAAATAAATAAATGAAATACAATAAAATTGTGGTTGTAGAAAATTCTCAAAACAAGTTTATGGCAGATAGATTGGTAGTGTTTTGCAGCATGGAACGTGGAGTCATGAGAATAAGAAATTCCCTTTAATTCAATGATTTATAATGATATAGGTCATTCATAGTATGATGTTATTAATATTGGCAACAGATTATAGGATCCATTTTTGTAATCAGGCATTATTTAGCTCCTAATTTTCATTCGGTCTAGGGGGGAAATATGTGTATTTTCTTAAGCTTTATGATGTTCAACTGACCCCAAAAAGTCTTGTTTTTAAAGGGATATTTGAACAGTTTTCAACCTGCTCTGTATAATAACAGTGTAGGAAGCTTGTGTAACTGAACTACAGTAAGCTTCCCTCCATCTTACCAGAGCTCAGAGCTTACTGATCATTTGCCAGCCAAAATCTGGTAGATGACACAAATCCAGCAGATTTCCACTTGCCTTTTGGGCTGTTGCTTGAACCACAGATTGTACTTCTGCACCACTACAAACAGAATACAAGCACAGTAAGAGAGCTGCCTCCCTCTCAAAAACTGAAAACCAAACTGAGCTTGTTTTTTTACGAGCTGGTCGACATATTGTTTATTGGCCTTTATTGATCCGGTGCGATGCAGTGCATTCTGGTAGTTTTTGGTTTTCTACCTCCTTGAGCAAAAGCAAATCCAGTCTTGTTTCTCTGTTGTCTCTGGTCATGTTCAATTCTTCCCTTCAGCAGAAAACTGCAGGGAGGAACATCCTGGACATCAAGGACTTCCAGGTGACAGATGTACTCGGAGAGAAGAGTCTCATCACGGTCAGTTTGACGTCCCAGCCCTCCTCAGAAGAGGACCTACATGAAGATACCTCTCTGCTGTCCATCAGCCACCTCATCATCAAACTGTCAGCCCTGGAGCTGGACCCAGAGTATATTTCTGATGCTCCAGTGGTCACACAGCACCCACTGGTTTCTCTCCAGCCCTATCATTCTGACTACCCAGTGAACTTCCATCATCCCAACAACCAAGAGGCAAACACTGCCCTGCTGTGTCACACACGTGAAGCCATTGGCCACTTTCCTCAAGAAGAGGAAAAAGGCGGACAGGTGGACTTATCTGAGCCGTCACATCAGATACACGCTGCTGTGAAATGTCCTTTTCTTGACTTGATTGCTAAAGGTCACAGTGTTTATCACATGACCTGTGAGGACGATTACTTAGTGAACTCATTTCTGGAAAAAACAGAAGTGTAAACAATGAGTGGACAATGTCCTCGTTTGATCTGTCAAACTGATTAAAACTATTGCTTAAGCACAAAAACTGTAGATGAAGACTGAATCAACAACTTCAGGGCTGCATGTGGAAAATAAGAGTTGAAGACTGTGAAAACATGCTCCCTGTGATTATAACATCTGTCACACTGCAGAAAAACTAAACAGAGAACTGAAGCTGAGCACACACAATTTGTACGATTTTAGTCCATTCCTGTCCCGATTGGCACAACTCATTTTAGACTTTCACTAATAGCGTCCAGCTGTCAGAGCTTTCAATGAATTTGTGATATGTCAGAAATGTTGGATGAGAGATTCCCCAAGAGCGGCTTTTTTTCTCACTGTGCCTATGTAAAGTGGCGAACAGAGTGTCTGAAAGGTGCCATGGCAACATGACTTGGCATATGGACAGAAAATATGAAGGCCAGGTTGGTCGAGCCGTGTTAACAGCATACGGAGCCATACACATGCAATGTCTTTAACCGCCTGGAAAACACGAGGTCGGGTGTTATGGCCGGTATACACTGTGTGATTTTGGGCTGTCCCAGACGAAAGATGACCATCGTGGGAGAAACGTGGCGATATCTTTGGTCGTGGCTCTAAAACAGTGGTCTTACGTCGCACTGTGAGACAGGTTCAAGGACGGCCGTTGACAACGTCTTGCGACCATAGATAACCTGAGATAAAATTCTGACAGTGTCAGAAATTTAGGATGACTTTCTTATGGCGTGACAGCTGCTACGACCTACGTCTACTAATGAACCAATAGAAATGCAGCACGAAATGATGCAATGGTCACCGCGACACCGGCACTGAACCCAAACAAATGATCGCTTGCCATGGAGGTAAAATGAACAAAAAGAAGTGTGTGGAACTCCCAGAGAGAGGAAAGTTTGGTGGAGCTGTGGCAGCAGAAGCCTTGTTGATTTGATGTTTCCTCCAGCTGCTATCATGACCGCCAGAAAAAAGAAGCTGCATGGAAGGAAATTGTGGAGGAACTGCAACTTCCAGATGAGCAAGCTACCTATGGTGGCGCAGATGGATGACGTACGCTGATGCGGTGCATGGTGATGACGTTGCATATTGACGTGTGTTGTAACCTGCGATTCAGTAGTAAACGGCCATCGTACAATCTGCACACATCAAACTTGACATCGTACCAAAGTTTATTAGATCCGCGTCTCACAGTGTGTCATGCAATAGTCTTATAAGATTGCTAAAATCGCACAGTGTATAGAGGACATTACTTTTGTGCCTTTTGTGAGCCAGCTTTCAAGAGCGTGGCGACAAGCTGCGTCTGACGTTACTAAGCAACCTTAATTAATACTGTATCATAGCCTATTTACCTTAAATCCTGAGTGCAGAGCTGATCTTCTTCCAGGCGCTGTTTTTAAGTGTGTGGGTGTGTCCTCTGTGAGACAGTTGAAAAGCTCTGGCAGCCCTGCACTGACACGATCAACTTTTCCATATTTACCACAGACTGATATTTACAGAGGACGGGAAAGATATCTGTCGGCTGTGATTGGTTGTCCCTTGTAACATGACAGGTGGTGTGCACTGCTGCATTCCAAAAGCTGAACTTGGTTTATCTCGGGGTACAGCAGTCCAGCCCTAAAAAACAGGCGCTCGGTAACACATGCGTGCCACGACAGCGTTGCTCTGGCTCTCAAGCGTGCCTGCTGTGCGTCTTCATTAGAAACAATGAATTTGAGGGCACACACGGCATGTGTACGGCCCCGATTCAAGTGTCTATGATGTTCCCTCCTCCTCCCATCATGACCAAAAGAAACAGCAGTAATGCATTATTGTGAACTGCACTGGTGTAACGTTACAGACCTCCATGCAAGCAAACTTCGATCTGTACAGTGCTTTTAAACAAATCTTTATTTACAAATGTCTCCATTAATCATGAGCTTTGGCTTGAGATCGCAGTCGATTGACTGGTACAGTAGGAGTTGGAATTGACCTTTCGCTAAGCCCCGCCCCTTTGTGATGGTCCATAAAGCTGTTGGAGCTAGCATGGAGCCCACACTGTAACTATTTGCACTCCCTGATGAAATATTGCCATATCTATGGACAAATGAAAGAGTGATTCCAGAGAGAAGTAGACAGAGGGGTCTACAGTCTGTGTCTGAAGGATATATCCAGGATGTCAAACTGACTCAGCAGCAACAACAGGTTAAAAAGACAAAGAGAGGTAGAAGCTAAAGCCTACAGATCATAGTATAATAGTAAACCATCACATCATCTGGATATTGAGTTAGAAGACAATGAAAATAAAGGGAAACTTTGCCAATATTCAACCAGCTATGTGTCATTGTACATAATCCTACAAATCAGCTGGATATTACTGTCTTCATCAGAATTGCAGTAATCACCATAATTATTTGGTATCCTCGTCCTCGCTAATATTTTCTGCTTTGCTTGTGATTATTTTTACTCAACTGGTATCAAAGAACTTGTTGAACTTCTGGTTCTGGTGAGAAAGCTCTCACACAAACCTCATAGTGTCTGTTACAGATCATTTTTGTTTTATATTTGTCTGTGTATTAATCAATTGTCATAAACTTGCTAAATATTACAATATTTTCTTTTTGTAAGGATGCTGTGCTCATTTTTTCTCTTCTTTCTCTTGTGCAGGTCAGGGTGAATTCATGTCTGTTAACATCCACTTCATGCTGTCGGTCTAAGATCGACTTTGTCAGCTTCAGCTGTAACTTAGCCTACAGTTAGCATGTTAGCCTACAGTTAGCATGTTAGCCTACAGTTAGCTCTTTATCAGCTAATTTCCAGTGTAACAATTGGTGATGTTTCTCAAATATTATTCAGTACTTTATCAGGGTCACCTTTGTGTTCCCAGGGTCCTATGTCTCTTGAAATAAAATAAAATGAAATAGTCAGACAATGGTAAGCACTAGCTTCACAGATAGCAATAGAATGATGCAAGATATGTGTTTCAAATGTAGTTTGAAAGATAAAAATCTGATCAGCCAGTGTGAAGATATTAAAGTCCAAAGTCAAGAAAACAAATTTAAGGGCATAGATTTCAAAGAATATCAGTGGGCTGTGATCTTTACGTGAATTTTAACATTTTGACCGGGGGGAAACACCCCACCCAAAAACATGACAAAGAATATAAAACCGTTTGAAAGATCTCCTTAATATGTCATATTGCCAGGATACTGAGCTGGGAAACATAGATACGTTCCCCACTTTATCCCATTAATGTTGCCACAATAACCTGCTAATATAACACGGAATGCTAGCTTAATAGCATGTGGCATAAATGCAAAAACAGACTCCAAAAAATAAAAAACATGCACACAGCATGGTAACATGCTAATATTTAGTGTGTAATGTTTAGCATGTTATATATTTCCAACAGTATCATGTGAGACAAAATGTTTCCATAGACTTTATTATATTAACCAATTTAATATTTACAGTTTGTTTCAATTTACAGAAATTTATTGTGCATCAGTTACCAGCGTCGGCCATTTTGGGGTTTTTTTGGACCATGCTGCAGTAAATTTATAATAATCCATTACTGCACATCAAAGTTATATTTATTTCATAATCAATCAGTTAATCTTCTTAGCTTGTGCCCACTGTATTAGACCACATTTAAAAATTTTAAAACCCATTCAACAAAGCACATGCCTGAAATTTCAGCGGGGTATTAACTTGCTGTGATATTGAGACAGTAGAGCTTAAATTTTACATCTAGATTAGTTTAAAAATTGTGGGCAGGGATCATTTGATATCCTCTTGCAGCTGTTTTTACTTAACTGCAGTTAAAATCTGTCTGCAATAGTGTGTGCTTTCTCCATCCTTTAAACTCTGCTGTCATCTTTCCCATTTTGTACAGACCTGTCTTTGCCTTTATGTGCAGGCTGTATCACTCCACGTACAAGCTGCGCATTTAAATGATTTGAATTTAGCTGTAAATACAAACCACGTAAAAGCAACGCGTCGTGTACAACCTGAAGAATCTGGTGATTCACTCGACTGGCAGCTGGTTTGTCCTAATAAAGTCCAGACAGCTGCTGTTTGTTTGAATCCTTTCTGACCGTCCTGGAGCTGTGTCAGCACTGACTGTGCAGCTCAAGTGCTAAAGGTTGGAGATTTAGAGGTTAGAGTTCATGCCGATCCAGTGTCTGATCAGCTGGTGGGCGATGGTTTGTCTAGGAGGGAAGGTGAAGGCCGGACAGGTTCTTCTGAATGAGTCAATTACCTAAACAAACAAACAAAAAATAAAATTATTATTATTGAATCATCTTCATGACAGCCTGAGCCAACACTATCCACTGCTGAAGTCCATGAGATACAACTGAAAGCTCTTTTGAATCTCCAGCAAGGAGAGTATGTGCCAAAAATTATTATTGGTATTTGTGTGCCAATAGTAGAAACCGCAGAATTTGTTTTGTTTGCACCTGTTGCCGTGAAAACCAACGAGCTTCCTCAATCTCGTTCTCGTCCACTTTAATGTTGGTCGACAGTGCGACAGCGAGGCAGCCAATCATGAGGTTAGAGGGCATTGGCCAGGGCTGGCAGCAGACGTACTGAACTGGTCCGACCTTCACTCCGCTCTCCTCCTCCACCTCCCTCCTCACCGCCTCCTCCATCGGTTCTCCTGCAGGAGAGGACGTCAGGGTAAGGTTAAGGTTTAGGCCATAGAGACGTTATGGTTGTGGTATGTGTGTGTGTGTGTGTGTGTGTGTGTGTGTGTGTGTGTGTATGTGTGTGTGTCCCTTACCAGGCTCTATGAATCCAGCCAGACAGGAGTACATACCAACTGGAAAGATCTTCTTCCTTCCCAGTAAACACTGGTTTCCGTCAGGGTGGATCACCAGCATGATGACCACTGGGTCTGAGAACACGCAAAGGTCAGAGAAGCTGCATTTAATCCAGATATATATCAAATGTATCTACTGTATTAAACATTCAGTCACAACTAATCTTAAAACCTTTTATCAACTGTTGGCAAACGTCCTCTCTGAGGTCAACTGGATGTCAGACACATTCAAAATGAAATATCAAAAATTTTGTTGGTAAAGAGTCTCAGTCATCCAGGTCAAGGTAATCTTAAGTGCTTTATCAAAGGCAACTGGACTTGATTGAGTTTCTTGAAAAGGTCTCACCTCTCATCCAAGAGGCCTCTTCAGTTCTGAACTGAAGCTGTGTAAATAACTGCAACTACACTCTTTTATGCTTATGGCAAGTTTTTCTTCAAGACTAATTAACTGGATTTTATTTAGGATTTTCTCAGTTAATGACTGAATGAACTGAGTGAAAAAAAATCTCTTTAAAAGTTCCCAGAGAATTTACATACTTCATACCTGTTTTGTCTGAGTGTTAACTTTACTATCATAGAAGTCTAAGATAACCAGGAAACATTCTTACTGTGGGTTTTTGTGTAATTTTTGCTTATAAAAATGACTCATCTGATTATAAAGATTGTTGCAAATAAGTCATTGATTAACTGATGTTTTGATTCAGGTATAAACTGGACTTAAAGCCATGATATCAGCCCCCTGACTTATGTCATCACAACATCCTCAAGCAGAAAAGGTTCATATTAAACCTGTCTCACAAAAAAAAAATGTATATTGATATTGAACTCCACATAATTATAATAATAACACTCAGTTTGAATAATTTATGTATTTAGCAAGAGGAGATAGTTGATGTGAGTTTGGAGCTCCGTACCGACTCGTGGATAGCAGGTGTTGTGAACCCCCTTCAGACTCCTGCAGTCAGAGTTCAGGCAGCTCCTCTTGTATCCTCCCTCCTCCAGCTTGGTGCTGCTGCCACACGTCGGGCAGAAGCTGTAGCGGCTGTGCCAGGCCAACACCGCCCGAGCCTGAGCCACGACTCCTGGAGGACGAAGAGCGGGAAGATTTTTCTGTTAGTTGAGTTTAGAATATTTAATGAAACACGGGAGTCATATCAAATAAGCTGTTTTAGTCAAGACCAGAGACAGATGCCTCTGGAAAAGAAAAAGACCCTATATCTTCCTCACCGGCCTCTTCCTCATTGAGCTTCAGCAGGTCTCTGTTGGGCGTCTTTGGGAAGCTGCAGTTCTTTTCTCTGCAGCGTTTAAGAAGTTCAGCAGCATCTTCATCTGTGTTGATGGCAAACCAAGCAGGAGGCTCCTGGACACCATCTGTCGGCTGAGAGGAGGGAGAGGAGGGTTTTCTCCACTTCTCCACTCCAAGGAAGATGAGCACAGTCGCAGGTTTCTGAAGGAGGTCTTTGACTGCCTCATATCTGAACCGACACAGCTTGGTCTCAACCTGGTAAGAGTTAGAATCACAATCATTAGAAAACAACTTTAGTCTTTGATGTGAAAAAGATTGACCAACAATGCCACCTAAACTAGCTGTTGGCTAAAAACCTCTCTCTATATTTCTGTTATTTTCCTTTTCAGTTCAGTGGTGATTTGTACTTCCTAAAATCCTGCAGGTAAAAACAATGAAATTACTGTCTTCTTCTTCTTTGTGTTCAGAAATGAGGTTGGTTGAAAACTTATCACATGGATTGATGATGCTGTTAAGGGATTTAGAGAATCACATCACTGAAACCAAAAGAAAGGTAAATTTATCCAAGCATGCACTGATTTAAAACAAAGGTTTAAACATGGACTCATCTAGACTAGAACTCTACAAGACTTACTTATCCTAACATAATCTAACATTTACGCTTTTTAATTGGAGTCAACACTTTTGTTTATCTCATTAATTACAAATACAAGGCTATACCTTTACGCAGATGACACTGTATTTTATTGTTCTGACCAATCCCTTCATTTGACTGTTGGAAAATGGAAGTTTCCATATTGACAGCTAGCATTTAGAGCTCATAATGAAGGCATAATAAGTTGGATTTATCCATTGTAGTTTGTAGATACAACATTCAAAGTGGGCCCCTCCTCCCTGGCTGAACCACACCAGAAGCAAAAACTAACCACAAATTCAGTCTAGTTTTGGAACGAGCTTTGTCCACTTGTTGTTTTGCCTCACTATATTTTTTTCCTGCACTATGTCCAGTGTTTTCCACACATTCATTTATTTGTGGCGGCATTTATTTTTGAAGGGGACCGTTCATTAGGAGCACTGCTGGAATACATATACTGTTCGGTCCACGCTCTCGCAGCACAGAGAGTAATCTGGGCACAGGCGGAGCAGCAGAACATCAGGTGCGGTGAAAATGAAACTTAACCAAACTTAACCATTCATTGCGCTGGGTCTAAAAGTTTGGCTTCACTCACAAACAGCTGCTCCCCTCGTCGATCAATCTGATCTGATCAGCTAAGACCTGATCAACTAATCAATTATTTATCCAGCCACTCAAAACCCCACAAACTGCTGCTGAGGACAGAAAAAAGAGCTCCACCAATGCTGTGTTCAACGACCCACGAAAACTGATATAGACTGATACACAACGACACACAGGCAAGAAAAAAAAGAAAAATGTTCAAGCCCACCCCGGAAAAATGTCGATAGATAGATTTGTCTACCTAAATGTAATTCTTTGATTTGGAATTTGACTTTTTATACTTGGTGAAATCTATTTTAATTTATCCTTTGCTCTATTTTTGAGATAGCTTGTTGTAGAGGCAACTTTTCTTTCTGGTAGACCAAAGGGATGTTATCATCACATATGCGTCTTTCTCTATACTTAAATCCTGCGATGCTATTTATCACTTAGTACTTAAATGATTCTTCTTTATGTGTCCTTGTGTGAGTCAAAACAGCTTTGACTCTCTGTCTTCATGTTAGGAAAATTTGGCACCTGCTTGTTAACAGGGCACTCCTCTAGAAACTATAATGGGAATTAATTTCCCACCAGATGTCCTGAACGCTCTGAAGTCCAGACAAATCATCAGAACTAATGTCCAAACAAATCAAAAATAACATTTGTCTCTTTAGCCACGCACCCCTGTGTTGGCGTCTGCCTGAGGGCTGCTGACCATGGGGCTGAGGTTGGAGAACAGGAGGTAGACTGTATCTGGATCACTCTGTTTCTCCTCCAACCAGACCGTGTCTGTCCTCTTGGCACTCAGCCGGTCCAGCGTCTCTTTGTTGAAGTAGTTCTCCTGCTGGTGGAGGTCGAAGCCCGGCAGAATTCTCTGGCTGGTGTCGTCTGTCCGGCCCAGCAGGTTGGAGATGTGTCTGTGACCCCAGAACTTGGCGATATCATAGGCGGTCTGAGAAGAGCTGTTCACTGAGTACTTGTTACAGCTTCAAGACCGAAAACAGAGAGGAGAATGGATATTTTAGGAGAAACAAAGCGTCTACAACACTATTGACTGCTGTTTATTCACATATATTTATATTAACCTGGCAAATAAAGCACTGCAATGAAACTGGTTAAACATTAGATTTAGAATTTGGCCTAAAATTCTTGGTTTATTATCGCACTAACCCAGAACAATATATGTAATTTCAATGATACAGATGTGAGATAACACTGTTTTTACACAGTGATGAAAAGTGCATTTACTCAAGTCCTGTAGTCCAATTTTGAGGTACTTGAACATTACTTGAATATTTCCATTGAAATATGGTACTTTTTTCTCCACTACATTTATTTGATAACTTTATTTAATTTGCAGGTTCAGATTATTAATAATACAAAATATAATCAACAAATAAATTATGCTGTATAGTTATATATAATACCACAAAACTTCATTGATCCTTGGGGGCAGAGTCACAAGCTACCCAGCATTAATAAAATAATCAGCTTGTGTTGAGTGATGATCACATTAATGTGTCAGTAATTATACTCCAATAATATAATATTCTGAAATGGGACCTTCTGCACGATGAGCACATTTGGAGCTTAAATTTTGATGCCAGTGCATCTGTCCTTTTACTTTGAATGCAAGACTTCCACTTGTAACAGAGTATGTCTACACTGTGGTATTGTTACTAGTACTTGAGTACAAGATCAAAGTACCTCTTCTTCACAGGGTGGTGAATTTTGGAGTTCTTCTGCCCTCTAGTGGCCAGAAATCTACTAATGCACCTTTAAAAAAAACACATTGTAGGCATATGACCCTTTTTTTGTTTTTTAAATGACTGAACACTTTAAAGGTGGATTTAAAAGGTTATCATTTTACAATTGTATTTCATACTAATAACAGTTGGGTGTTTTATACTCTAAAACGGGTGCATTTCTGGGATTTGACGACACTGGGGGCTCAGCCTGGGCGTATGCAGGGGGTCCAGGGAGGACTTTAAAAAAAAAAACAAAAAAAAAAACAAGCTCTGGCATCTTATTTACCCTTGATTTTTTTTAACTGAGCCTCAGACGCCCGGACCTAACAACGGTACTGATCTAAGTCACATTTTGTTGAGTGCATTATTCCTGTCATTCTCTCTCCATCTCAGCTCTCTGTACCCATGAGACAGCAGCTCCTCCACCACTTGGTAGTGTCCGTTACGAGCGGCGAGCATCAGCGCCGTCCAGCCGCTGTATCCCGTCTGGTTGATGAGCGAGGGGGCGTGGGACAGCAGCTGGGACACCTGGGCCAGGTCTCCTCTGGCTGCAGCGTCCAGAAACCTCTCCACCATCTCCTCCGTCGCACTCAGCTGGAGGCTCGTCATCCTGGCTGCCTGGACAAAGAAAATGACCCTCACATGAATATGTGATCAGATATGAAAACAGATTTTGGACATGAAGAAGTATTTTTGTTAAGATAAAATAGTTGAATTAAAAAGTTAGCATGAGTTATATTCAGTCAGTTAAACTTGTTTAAAATGTTAAGGATTTAATATAAATGTCTTTGTTTGATGGAACCTGGTGATACATAAAACTAAGATTTATTCCAACTCATTAAATGTAATCAGGGCTTTCAGCATTTTGTTTTTGGAGATTTATTACAGTTTTAAGCAACCTTGGAGTTTACAATCTACAAAAAGCAAACGCGTTCAAAAAGTATTCAGATCCCTTCACTGTTTATTTTTTATTTTAAGAAAAGCAGGACTTGAGAAATGTTTGCAAATTTATTAAAAACAACAAAAAAACAAAAGTATCACATCGACATAAGTATTCAAAACCTTTACTATGATGCATGTAATAAAGCCCAGGTGCAGCTCATCTCTCTTGATTGTCCCTGAGATGTCTCTGCAGCCTGACTGGAGTCCACCTGTGGTCGATGCAGTTGATTGGACCTGATTTGGAAAGGCACACACCTGTCGCTGTGAGGTCATATGTCAGAGCAAAAACCAGCCATGAGGTGGAAGGAGCTGCCTGCAGAGCTCAGAGACAGGACTGTGTGGAGGCACAGATCTGGGGAAGACTACAAAAACATTTCTACTGCACTGAATGTTCCCAGGAGCTCAGTGGCCTCCTTAATTCTTCAGTGGAAGAAGTTCTGAAACAAGCAAGACTCTTCCTGAGCTTAAACTAAACTCATCTGGGAGAGAAGAGCCTTTGTGATTAGAGAGGTGACAAAGAACCCAGTGGTCACTCTGCTTGAGCTCCACAGATCCTGTGTGAAGGAAATTTAGTGGTACAACCATCACTGCAGCCCTCACCGATCTGGGCTTAATGGCAGAGTGACCAAACGTCTCCTTAGTAAAAGGACATGTCTATTGCTGTTCTTAAAAATAAAACTCATAAAACAAGGGAGCTGCTAAATAAGAAATGTTTGTCTGTTGTACTGTTTACTTGTCCGTAGAGGAAGGAAATTATAATTTAAGAGAGCTGTTTATTTATAAAACACGTAAGAAAAAGAAGAAACTTTATTATTCATTCATTCATTTCCATAACCACTTATCCTCTTGAGGGTCGTGGGGGGGTGGAGCCTATCCCAGCTGACACTGGGTGAGAGGCAGGGTTCACCCTGGACAGGTCACCAGACTATCACAGGGCTGACACTGAGAGGCCGTTTACACGTACACGGTGATTTTGATAAACGGAGACATCTTCCTTCGTTTGTGCCCTTCGTTTACACGCAAACGGAGATTTCTCCTCTGAAAACGAGTCTTTCTAAAAACTCCGGCCAGAGTGGAGATTTTGGAAAACTCCAGTTGCACGTTTGCATGTAAACTGAGATAAACGGAGATAAACGGAGTTATAGGCAGCCGACGTCACAATATGCGCCGGAACTTGCGCCTGTGTCAAAAGTGCGACCTATGTTGCTATGGTGACAATGGATACATGGAAGGCTTGAGCCTCTCGTTACACTGCCACCTACAGGTTTGGCATGCTCTTGTGTATATATACACGGGTAAGTGTAAACGAAGATCTTTTTGAAAACGGAGATGGTGAAATGTCCGTTTATGAAAATAGCCGGCGACGTGTAAACGGCCTCATAGAGACAGACAACCATTCACACTCACATTCACACCTACGGACAATTTAGAGTCACCAATTAACCTGCATGTCTTTGGACTGTGGGAGGAAGCTGGAGCACCTGGAGGAAACCCACGCTGACACAGGGAGAACATGCAAACTCTCCACAGAACCAATGTGACTCAGCGCTGAGTTGAAATTGTGTTGCTCTCTGTTGAGTTTAAAAAAAGCCTTATGTAAAATGATAACAGATTATAATGTAAATTCTTAAGTAGTATAATGACATAAATAGTATAATGAACTTAATTATTAATCTATTTCCTTGTTGATATTCTGGGTTATCCTTTGGTTGATATAGGATAGGTAAAAATAAGCCTGGGGCTTCAGCCGTTTCCTTTTTCAGTTATTGACTGTGAGAAAATCTGTGTGAAATAATCTTCTTCTCAGAATGTACGGAACCCAAATAAAAATGATTCATTTATTTAACGCTGCTAATCGGCTGTTAACCAGGTCCAACAGGTCAACCCACATCACTCCCATTTTAGCTTCTTTAAACTGGCTTCTCATCAGGTTCAGGATTCGCCTCAAGACGCTTATTCTCACGTGTAGAGCCCTCCACAGTCAGGCACCTGATACATTGGTTATCTCCTTCACCCATATATTGTCAGTAGGTCCCTTAGGTCTTCAGAACAGGACCTATTGGCTGTCCCACTCTCCACACTCAGAACAAAAGGTGATTGTGCCTTAAAGGGATAGTGCACCCAAAAATGAAACTTCAGCCATTATCTACTCACCCATATGCCGAGGGAGGCTCAGGTGAAGTTTTAGAGTCCTCACATCACTTGCAGAGATCCAAGGGGAGAGGAGGTAGCAACACAACTCCACCTAATGGAGGCTGACGGCGCCCCAGATTCAAACGTCCAAAAACACATAATTGAAACCACAAAATATCTCAATACTGCTCGTCCGTAGTGATCCAAGTGTCCTGAAGCCCCGACATAAAAAGTTGTTTGGAAAAACGTCATTTGAACTCTGTTTTTAGCCTCATTGTAGCCTGTAGCTCTGACTGCCTCTCTGGGCACCGTGCTCACGTGTGTGGGCTTGCGCGAGACCGTAAGACATGGGCACCGCCTTCATGTGTGTTCACGTGCTTTCGCTGGTCTCGCCTGCAAGCCCATACATATACTCCATTAGGGCTGCAGTTGTGCTGCTACCTCCTCTCCCCTTGGATCTCCACAAGTGATGTGAGGACTCTAAAGGCCAAAACACATCGGCGGCGTCATATGACGGCGGCGTCATATGACGGCGGTGTCATTGACGCGAGTCAAGTGCCGCCCCAACACACACAAAAAGCGTTGCGCTGTGGGGCGTCAAACAGATTTCTATTGCACACTCCAGTCCGCTAGCTGGGAAGTACAAAATAGCGCTTTTTCAAGGGCAGCGACACTGGAAAATAGGACAATAGCGTAAAGTGGCGCGGCACGTCGACGCGCGTCGAGTCGCCGCCGGAGTGGGTTTGTAAATAGAAAATAATGGGGGCGGCTGTTTTGACGCACGTCGTACGGCGCAGGTGTGTTTTGGCCTTAAAACGCCTGAGCTAGCTCCCTCGGCATATGGGTGAGTAGATAATGGCTGAATTTTCATTTTTGGGTGCACTATCCCTTTAAAGTCGTCACTGTGGAGCTCTCTTGCTTTAGGTTTACGGTCTGCAGTCTCCCTTTAAACTTTTAAAAGACAACTACAGACCCATCTTTTCAAAATGGCCTTTGTCCCGCCCTAAATTGTGTCGTGCTTGTTCCCTGGTGTGTTTCTGTTTCTCAGCAGCCTGTATTTGCTCTGGGTTTTACTTTATTTGTGTTGCAGTGTTTTATTTGTTATATTGTCTTTTGATTTTATTGACTGCATGCTTTATTGTTTGATTGATTGAATTTTGTGAAGCACTTTGTGAATTTAATTTTTGTGAGAGCTGCTAGATCAAATACATCACTATCATTATTATTATTATTATTATTATTATTATTATTATTATTATTACATGTCTACTAAACTATTACCTCACCTTACATAATATTTGTCTCCCTCCCTCTTATTGGTGCAAACAGCTGTCAATCATTCTCGGGTGACGCCTGTCCAGTCTCACGCTGTTACAAAACGCAGCCTTCATGTAACAACCTGCAAATCACACGTTTTTTCTGTTTTTAACATCAGGTGACGTCATGATCAAAGTTCAAGTCCTGCAGCTTTTTAATGCGGAGCTGTGGTGATTACATTCACTGTGGTGTGTTCAGTGTCAGTAGGTTATAGGTTACACACTGGAGGTACGGCAGCCCGACTGCTCCACTGCTGTGTGGACTATTATGATTTCATGTATTCATCTGTCACACAGCAGAGAATCAAACTGACATCAGTGTTTCTGTTCACGGTAAACTGACGAGGACTGACGGAGGAGTTAAAGTCTGGACTCGCTCTCTGGCTCCGTCTATGTCCTGGAAACTTCACCGATTAATTCCTGATCGAAGCGGAACATTAAAGTTTGAACAATAATGAAACATAATAAAGTCTCAGCTCACCTTCAGCTCGGCTTCTGTTTCCTTTCTGTCCGGGAAGCAGTGTTTGTGCTGGGTTGAATGAAAAGTGACGAGCTGCGTTCAAGAGCAACAGCGACGCTGCCTACAACTGTGCTGCCTTCAAGTACGCGTTAAACCTCCGTATCTCTGTGTGTTACGGCAACGATGCGCAACTTTTTTCTTCAATAATAAAATGCGAACAGGTTATGAAATGTGTTCGATATTGCTGTATGTTTGTTTACTGACTGTTTATTTTTCTCCTTTTTTGTCATGCATGTTTTATTTGAGAACAGTTTTAAAGAAAGTCCGTTGCTTCACTGACACACACACACACACACGCAAACGCACACACACAGGCCTAGCTCCACTCCATGCCTGAAGATTTTACATTTAAAAGCTTCAGATAAAAAGACCAGTGATTTATTCTCTAACTCTGAATAAGTTGAAAATTTGAGGTACTTGAGGTTTTTCCTTTAACGCCCATTTCTACTTCTCTTCAACTAAATTTATCTGACATTTCTAGTTACTTTTCAGATTAAGATTTCTACTATTACTGAGGAAATTTTGGTGGTCAAAGGTTCAGATTGTTCAGAATTGGTCAAGGTCACTGTGACCTTGCATCTGTTTCATTCTCATGAACACAGTATCTCCAAAACACTTTGAGGGTATATGTTCAGGTTTGACACAAATGTCCACTTTGAGTCTGAACTGATGAGATTTTGGTGGTCAAAGGTCAAGATCGCTGTGACCTTGCATCCGTCTCGCTCTTGTGAAAGCAATGTCTCACAAATGCCTTGAATTTTTTTCTCAAATTTGGCACAGATCTCCACTTGGACTCAAGAATAAACTGATTAGAATTTGGTAGTCAAAGGTCACGCATTCATGTTTTACAATATGAAGCTTCTTTTGTGTGGAAATGATTCAGAGGAATATTTCAGTGGTTTAGGTCAAAGCATACAGATAGAGACTGTTACTAACTTTTATCTTAATGCTCCATCTCCAAAAGGCAAGATTAAAATATCATTGTTGGTCAGATGCCATCATAAGTTAAAAAAAAAAAAAGTGTTGGTGTCACATATTCATTGTACTTGGTGTATCATTGTTTTAATTTCTTATTTTCCATGTTTATTTTATCATTATACTTGTTATGATTTTACGAGATTATTTATTGTATCTATCTGTTATGTGACAAATAAAAATGTCACCGTTCCCCCGGGGTGTCTCCCCTTAAAGGTTATTTTCATATATTGTGTTTGTTTAGTTCAATCTGTCTGTCTGTACATGGATTTTGTTGACAAAGTTGGAGTAAAGAAGTTAAAAACCTTGGAAGTTGGATTCTCCAAGGCGCCTCTGAACGCAGCACACCTGCAGCGCTGCCTGCTGTTGTTGAACGCAGCCTGCAGGCTTTCTGCTCTCTGACAGTCTCGTCCAGATAAATTACAGTTACAACAGTCTAACAGACACATAAAATGATGATGATTCTGTAAATCAACTAATGATCATTCCAAAAAACAAGAAACAGACGCGACAAAAACGTGGTTTAGTTAATATTTTAATAAAATAATGTACAAAATAATGTTACCAGAGATACAGTTTGTCCTCCCAGTGAGAACAATACCACTTCATAATTACAGGTCACCTGAATACCAGCAAACATTCTGAAATCGTGATTTTATCAATATAAATAAACATTAAAATAAGTTACTGTAGTTATTCTCATTCACAAAAAAACACTCAGAGGCCAGAGAATATACAGCTGGTTATTGCTGAAGATAAAAGAAACAGCCGACTAAATGTTGACTGAGTTTATTAATCGGTTAAAGAGACAGACATTTACTGAAATGAAGCTGAATGGAAACAAAAGTTTCAGATCTGTGACACTTAAAGCGTGATCATATTTCTGTTCTTGTGAAGCTGTAGGAGATGCAATACTGTAACACATCCCATGGATGTGTGTGTGTGTGTGTGTGTGTGTGCATGTTAGGAGTAGAAGGTAAGGACGCTCTGTTGGTTTCCTCGGACCAGCAGCAGAGGTGGGAGGTCTTTGGACAGAGTTTCCAGCCAGCACATGTAGAGGGCGCTCGACACCGTGCCCTTCCTGGCCAGAGGCATGCTCCTGAAAATGATCACAGAAAATACACTGTTTATTTATTTATTTATTCATTATCAGTCCTGCTTTATAGAACGCTGGGTATGTCATCAGGAGGTCCCAGATTCAAACCAGTTTACTGTGTCATGCAGTGATGTAATGTACATTTACTCAAGTATTATATTAGGTACAAATTTGAGGTACTTGAGGTCTTTCCTTTAATGCCCATTTCTACTTCACTTCCACTAAATTTATCTGACATTTCTAATTACTTTGCAGATTAAGAGTTTTACAAACAAACATACAAAGACCTGATAAAGTTTATACAAGGACATCTTACGTCCTTAGCTCCTCCCACCAGGCAACCATAGGCGTATGCCGGCATTTTATCCAGTAACTTAGTGTTTTCCCGTAATGATTATTTATTCTTAATTCATTGTAGGGTTGCATGCAGCTCATGCACTTAGCCCCTCTTTGCCCTCCTCTGTCTCCGTTTATCAGACTACAAATAAGACAATTATGTGCTAGCCACCCCACAGTCCTTCCACCTCACTTCCCGCCACTATGGACTGCTTCATCAGCTGGAGAGCAGGCAGCAGCTGAGGAGACAGACCTTCAGTCAGCAGCTGTTGTGTCTCGAATTCAGCCAAAATAAAGTCCCCAGCAGAAGCACCTGGTCTAACCTGTGTAACAGCAGCAACAGAAAGTTTGCTGATCTGGCAGAGTCAGGGCTGTCCAGCAACCCAGTGCTGGGGTTTGCACTGGCTGGATTTGGGTTGCTGCAGCTGCTAACTGGGGGTCCATCTCCAGAACTGCTGCCCGCACTCCTCTGTGGCAAGATGACTTGTGGCGGAGTGAGCCAGAGGAGACACACAAGCTCTTTTTTAGATAGGAATTGTGCAAATTTGCAGGAATGCCGCCTACCTACTTTTGTTTATACAGAATGTGCCTTTTTCGGGGCAATGGGGGGCGTGAGCAAGTAACAAAACATGTAGCTCAGCGTGTGACGTAAACAGTGACGTGGGAGGGAAGCCGCGGCTGATCAGTCCTTCGCCGATTCTTTCGTAAATCGGCCCGTTCTTCACCGTCCCCGTCATCTGACGGTTAATGGCCTCTTCGTTTGCGAGGACAAGGAGGGCGCGCAATTCCTTGTCTCCCCAGTTGCTCATCTTTACAGTGTCTGTCAGGTTTGTGTTTCCCTCTTGCTACTAGCTGCTCGCTAATTCCTGCTATCAGCTGTTTCCTGTTTATCCACCGCCAGTGGCTCGCACGTGCGGCGTCATCAACAGCTCCTCCCACAAGTCATCAACATCCCCTCCCATTGCAGAAGGCCGCCTCGTTCTTCTTAAACTAAAAGGGTTCCACCAATATGCCTACCCTACGAGGCGGAAAATTGGGCACCTCGGATCAACTCGCCAATCCGGCTCTGTGTGTCTAAACGCTCGCAGCTTGCCGGCAAAACGGCCCAACATTCGCGGAAAATCTGGCAGTGTAAAAGGGGCTACAGTATGTTTACATACCCAGTGAAGTGGAGCTATAGTTACAGCTCGACTAGACCATATGGCCTACTGTCCTTGTCCCAGTATACAAGCACGGGAAGGGAATCCATTTATTGAGCCAAGTATGTGCGACTCCTCTACGATAGGTGGAGATATGCCCCCTTTCAGCTTGTTAGTATTGGACCTTTTTCCTGTTGACCTATTACGTCACAGACCAAACAATGGACAAACAAGTTAGCTACGGTTAGCTAGCAGCTAACTGATACCATGGTGGACAACTTTACAGCTCTGTACATTTGGTCCGTCCAAAAAGTCACGGCTCTGGATGTAGATTTCTCCATGTTGTTACCGGCTTCTTCTTCTCTTACACATTTAATGCTATTGAACTTCTGGGTCAAAGCCCGAGGCGGAAACTGTGAAGCATGTTCAGAGCGCCTCGGCCAGTTTGGGTCTGATTGACTGTATACATGCAGGAGGAATTCAACTCCCAGTTAGTCAGACTTTGAGAAATGATTTAGTATGATTTCAGTCGGACTAACATGTTTACATGGATTTTCAAAGTCCAGTTTTAGTTGGGCTGAAGTCGCAACTGTGAGCTCCGGTTAGCTAAATGTTAGTTAGCCTCTACAGTGTAGGCAGCTGTTACTAATGCCTGAATAGCAACTTTCTCTGTGGGATTCTCCGCCATTGAATCAAACTTTCACCAGAGGGACGTGCATGCACATCTGCATTTGTAGAATGCCCTCTCTCTGACCTGACCTGTGATTGGCCAAAGTTTCATGTCAAAAGCTAGATTTTCTAGAGCCTGAAAACAGAGCCAAAAGACGGTGCAGAAGTCTAGTTCTCTCTCAGTCCACTTGAATTAGAATTTTTGCCCAATGATGGCAAAATTAATCAGGCTCTGTTCTGTAAAAAATATTTCATGGTTGCAGCTTTAGGAATGTTTCCTTTGAATCATGTTTATAATTATCATGTACAAGTAATAATGTTGAGGTTAAAAAAATAAACAGGTGACACTTTGGGCTTGGGCTCATTGTGACAAACAATACTCACTATTTTCACTACAAATCAAACAATTATTGGATTAATGGAGAAAATAATAAGCAGATCAGGAAAACTACATCAGTAAAATCCTGCTTTCACATTAATGCAACATTCAGTATCATCTAATGAGATCATATCCAATACCCGATCCGATTATACTTCAGTACTTTTACATAGGTAATATTTACAATGTGGTATTTTTACACTGATATCAGTGCTTTTACTGCAGTACAGGATCTAAATACTTCCTCCACCACTGATGTCATGTGAACAGCTGCTCCAGAATTTGAAGTCTGAAACTGATAATAAAGAAAACGAGCTCTTCTTAAAGAACAATGTAAAGTTCTTACATGACGATGAGCTTTGCCATGCTGGAGTGTTCCTTGAGCAGCTCGTTCAGTCGGATCTGACGGTTGCTCTGAAAGTCACACACAGCATGTTGACATTAACTT